TCTGATGGGTGCTGAGATATCATCGATCAGGCAAATTTATAATCTGTGCTCGGTTGGCGATTACGTGATGATGTTCGTAAAACATCTAATTACTAAAGCATTTGCGCTAATGAAGTGAGCCTTATGAATTAGATGAAAGTAAAAAAAATATCTATGAATTATTTTTATTTTATAATTATATTAGCACAATATGTATTTGTATCCTTTATAATATAGAGCAAAATAAAAATTTTTGATTTAAGAAAATGCTAAGCATATGCGAGATAGTGACTACACAACATATAGTACTATATTAAAAATGCTATAATTCGACTTTAAATTCGGGGTAAACCAGGTTTAATAATAAATCGTTTTGGCATTTTGGTAGCAACCGGTTTTAATAGTAAACGGATCATATAATAAACCGGGTAGTTATATTCCAATTCTGGTTTATTTTTATTTTAAGCAATCAAAATTCTTGCAGATATCTTATATTACAAAAATAAATGTAATGTAGATTTTACACAATACGGTCCAATTCGGTTTTTAAGTAAATCCAATTCAGTTATTGAATTTGCAACCGGTCCTAACCACTAATTGAGATTATAAAATTAATAAGGAAAGCTATGTAGACTTATAACAAATAATCTATTAATTCAACACATTTAAAATAAAACTACGGCATAGTAGTGAAGTTACTGTAAAAACCTTTTACACAAAACTTACTGTTTCGGTGATCAAAATATGTGGTTTAGGTCAAGTTAGTTTGCATTGGAATTAATGTGATTTCTATCAAGAGTTACTGTAAAAAATTGATATAGATTTAATCGCATTTCAGTGAATATGTTATGTGATTAAGACTGAATCAGTTGCATTGGAATTATTGTGATTTCCATTATTAGTTACTTTAAAAAATTCTGTTACCGAAGTACTAACTATTCAGTGATCATGGTATTTAATAAAGATTAGCTTGTGTTAGAATTAACATGAATTCTATAAGGTAAGGTTGAATTAATTTGTATTAAAGTATTACTATTTCTATCATAGATGCTGTAAAAAATTATAAAACTTACTTATTAGTCCAGTGACTATAGTTTGTGTTTGAGTTAGTATTAGAATTATCATTATTTCCATCATGAGTTACTGCAAAAAGCTGTTATAAAATTATTCGTTATTCGGGTGATATATTGTATGTAGTGACTGAGCATATATAATCTCGTGGCTCGCAAATTAAACTCAGAAGACAAGAAAAGTTCTCGAATCATTCGACTGAATTACTTATTCGAAATTTGTTCGAGTAATTCGAGTCAGCAATTAATTTATTGATTAACTTTATAAATTACGAGTTACAAAAACAAATTAGTTCAAATTGCACGTAATGAAAGCAAGTATAATTCAATTTATGTGTTATTCCAATTATAAGTTACGAAAGTAAATATATGTTTATTAAAACTTTGCTATTGCAATAAATTAACATACATGGTTTATTTAAATTTTAAAGAATTATAATTATGTTAGAATTATGACATTTTTATACAGCTTACAAAATTTATAATGCAAAATATTAATTATTTTAAACTTCATTACTACATTATATGTACATTGATAATCAACTTGAGATCAAAAATTTCATGCGTCAGACCACAGGAAAGTAATAGCGTTTGGATCCGTTTACCTAAACATCGGATGGTACAGATATTTGGATGCTCACGGATTGTGAAGCTGGATAACAAAAAATATTCCGGACGGTCATCCGGATACCATAATAAATTTATTGGTCAACGTATTCTAATTTTCAAATTGGCTATTATCCGAAATGGTCATTTTTGAGCACTGATATATATCAACGAATACAGATGTCCTATCCGGATAGCTGTTTTTTAAACACGGATGACTATCTGGTCATCTGGATTGACATCTGGATCCCAACACTATTGAACGAAAATTTATCATTGCTAAAAATTATACTAGTTTATTTTATCCTATCAAAACTTAATATTATCAGTGTTTTTGAACCTTGAACGAAGGATTCTCAATAAGTTTTTGGTTAATTCTAATTTTATTAATCTGTAGAACACGAAAATAGCTTAAAACTTTGTGAATAAGTAGGCTATTGATAAGATTCCTTCGTTCAAAACTGATGAGATTATAGTTATAAAAAAACCAAAGTTTTTATTAATTAGTCAACTAACTGAAAGACTTTGTTTTCCGTGAGATACAATAATTTGAAAAGCACAATGATATAATTTTAATATAGATATCTAATACAGTATTAAAATATTTAGAATCTTGTGATGATAGGGAACTTGAAATGTTTGTTTTTGAAGGTAGAATCATTAAGCTGTAAAAACTGTTTACCACCACCAGTAACAACTGATAAAACTTTATTACCAGTAATTTATGAAGAAAATGAAGATAATTCATCTATCTTACTAAAGTATGAAGTAGGACCAAAACGAACAATATTAGATCACAATATTAATAACTTATTAAATAATGGAACAGAACCAGAACAAACAAAATTAGAACAAAATATTAATTGTAGCGATGTAATTCTGAATTGCAGTGAAGTGTTCAGAATATTAATTATGATTTGAATCAGAATATTCATTATAATGACGATTTAGAAGGAACGACTTTTAATGGATTAAATACAGCTAATGGTGAAGCTGATGTAGAAAATAAAATAATTTTTTACATGTTTCTCGTAAAACAAGAAACACCACTTGGCGAATAGATGATGGGTAAACTTAAAAAAAAATTTCTACATTATAAAAACTTTATATAACTAAATAAACTTTAATTAATAAGTTTTATGCTTATGTATTTTTAGATACACTGGCTCAACTTTACGCCTTTATTAAGTGTCTTGGTCTGAAATATCATAATCAATTTTACTTAATCGAAGAACTATAAAAATGCAACAGTAATCCATGGATCTTCTTCATCGCATAGAAGATGCCACAATTGTGGATTTCACTGATCCAAGAACATCTGAAAAATTAGAGCATGTAAATGTAAAAATTAACAACAACGTATTGAAAGAAACCAATATAGAAAATGAAGAGTTAATTGATCAGCAAACATTATCTCTTAAAGAAAACCCATTTTTAGATTCAATAAATGATGCTGAATCATCTCTTAAAGTGAAGACATCCTTAGCTTTAATAAATGATGTTGAATTATCTCTCTTAAAAAAGATTTTTTAAGTTCAATAAATGGTGTTGCTGATTTACGAGATTCCTGATAATCCTGTTCCCACAAATTTTGTCTCAATTCAATATGTTAATTCAACCGAAATTCCAATTTAGATGTCTATTGTTTCAGATCTTTCGTTTGCATCTACAATGACATGAACAAAAAAAATGTCGTCATCTAGCTTTTCATATAGTGGTCCGTCAGATTCTTGCTCTCACATTCAACTAACAATCAAATCGTTTAAAAAAGGTGCAAAGTTTCAACTTCGCACTATGATTCAAAAGCATTATAAACTATGGAAAAAAGGTTTATATAGAAATATACATCAACGTTTATAAATTTTTAACAACAAAAAAAAAAAACAAAGTCTTGCTAATTTATTCTCATTTTAAATTTTCAAGCTTCGGGAATTTATGCCAAAAAGCAATAGAGACCATTTTTGAACCTTTTGAATCTTTGGCGGACAACACTTTGTATGGTAGAAATTTCCAAAAAAGGTGAAGGACAGGTTGAAGGAGTGAAAAATATAATTATCTCATTCCCGAAATATAATGAACAAAAGGTGCAGAGATACAAAGGATTGTTGATATGGAGGATATAATTGAGAAGTTTCTGATTCTCCACGATCAAATGATATTAGATACTGTTATAGAATGAGCTTTCTTTTTTTTAATTTAATAACACATTATATTAAAAAAAAAAAGATAAAGTATATAAGGCCACACAAATTTAATTTTATTTTGCATAACTTGATGTTCCAATATTCCAATTGACGGATCGGTAGTTTTTTTTTTTAATCTGCTGCAAATTAATAGTTCATGTTCAAACTAAGGGCAAATTTAATTTTTTTGTTTGCATACGTAACATGGAATCAGAAGATTTGGGATTTTTTTTTTTTATCGGACCTATCGGATAATTCCTGAAAATTAAGGCCACCACCGGGTGACATCGAACAAATCATGGGGAAAAAACTGAATAACAATTGGAACTTTAAAAAAAAAAAAAAAAACTGAAAATTTGGGTCGGTGGGTTATGCAAAACAAATATTTAACTTTGCGTGGTCAAAATTAACATTTTACGAGATGTATTAAAACGTCGGGAAACTTAATAGTACAAGAAATATATCAGAGCATTTGTAACGTAGTGAAACAAAGTACATGTGGGTTTATACTGTACATCTATGTGCGTACTTTATTGAGCTAATCCGATAAAGTATAATTATCGCTCTCTCATTCTGTGTACTACAATGTATGCGTACGTACGTACGTACGTACGAGAGAAAATTCGTAAATGCAAACTCTCGCATATTATTGGTCAGATCTCATCCATTACATTATTACGTAATTAAAAGTCACGTTTTTAAAAAGTATAAATACAGTACCGGTACAGTATCCGTCAATTAATTTGATCAGCAATCAGACGATCTTTCTTACACATTTCGTACGTACGTTTACGTACGTAATCAATCTATACTTTATTTTATACACGCAACATTATTTTATTACTGATGGCGAATGAAGACTTGACAAGTATTTATAATAACCCATTTACAGAACAATCTGAAATTCTCAATTATCAGAAACAATACTCTAATCCTTTACAGCAAACATGTTCTTTATACGATTTTAATGAGTCACAAGATTTCATAAATAAAAATATCATTGATGAATTATGTAAATTGCACGAAAAAGAAGTTTTCAAAGGAAGTTATGATTCAGAATTTATTGATTCAATAGAGAAATATTTGGAAAGTAATCAATTAAATTCAGAATATTTAATTAATTTATGCTTAAATAATCAATCAAATCCTGTACTTTTAACCATTCTTGCACGTTGTTATCGTTATGGAAAATGGGTTGAAAAGGATGATTATAAATCTTTTATTTATTATAAAAAATCTGCTGATATGGGAGATTCTTATGGAATGTGTGATCTTGGTCAATTGTACGAAAAGGGAATTGGTGTTGAAGAAGATAAACACAAAGCGTTCATTTGTTATCAAATGTCGGCTGACATGAACAATCCTTGTGGATTTGATAAACTTGCCTATTGTTATAAGAATGGAATAGGTGTTGAAAAGGATGAAAATAAAGCATTTTTTTATTATAAAAAATCAGCAGATATGGGACACGCTAGTGGTATATTGTATCTTGGCCGTTGTTCTCATCATGGAATTGGTATTGAAAAGGACGAAAATAAGGCATTCACTTATTATCTAACATCTGCTAACATGGGTAACGCAAGTGGAGCATTTAATGTTGGTAATTGTTATCGTCGTGGAATCGGAGTTAAAAAGGATGAAAGTAAAGCTTTCATTTATTATATGAAGTCTGCTAATACGGGTAATATTGGTGGAACATTTAACGTTGGTTATTGTTATCATCGTGGAATTGGAGTTGAAAAAGATGAAAGTAAGGCATTCGTTTATTACTTGAAGTCTGCGGATATGAATAAAGCTAGAGGAATATATAACGTTGGGAATTGTTATAGAAATGGAATTGGAATCAAACAAGATAAACAAAAAGCTTTCATTTATTACCAGAAAGCTGCAAATATGGGTTACTCTAATGGAGTATATTGTGTTGGATATTGTTATCGATATGGAATTGGTGTTGAAAAAGATGTACAAAAAGCATTTATTTATTATAAAAAATCTGCAGATATGGGAAATACTAATGCAATGTTAAGTGTTGGATATTGTTATCAATATGGAATAGGAATTGAAAAGGATGAGTATAAAGCATATCTTTATTATCAAAAATTAGCTAATAGCGAATGTAATTAAAAATAAGACCTCCTATTTATCATCTAGTTATTCTTATTAGCAAGATTAAAATTTCTTGAACTTTAAAATTTTATTAAGCTGTCAATATATTAAAAAATTATAAGTATAGATTAGTGGATGAATCGGATATTTATAAGATGTTTTGGACCGCAACAACGGCCCAAATGCATCTTACAGATATCCGATTTATCCACTGATCTATATTCGAGATTTTTTATCGTCTAGCAGTTGTTACTATCATATGTATTTGAATATATTAAATAAGTACCGTATTTATCCACAATACAGACTACCTGTTCATCGTACTCTGTAAAGATTTTGGAGACAAGTCTTTTGATTTACCCGAGTACTTAAGTATGGTGATATCATATTTAGTAGAGATTGGATTGTTTAACAACTTAACCGTAATCGTATAATCGTATTTTTAATCGTTTTATAAATTTCTTACTCGTTTAACCGTATAATATAAATAAAAATAATAGTTAAAGGCGGTTAAACGAATCACGGTTCTAACCATAACATGCAGTAATAAACACTTCATTTATAAAATTTTTAAACTCAAATCGATTGTCAACAAAGCTTCAGCTAAGCCTAAACCTAATTTACAAAACGGGTGTAGTGATGTAACAATAAATCAGATCTCTAAAAGTAGACGGAGGTCAAGTCATATGCGGTGAGGTTAGCCAATCAGATACTCAGTACGGACAGATGTTTAAATAATACTCTTATCAGTCTTTTACTATACCTTTTAAGCGCACAACTTACCAATCTTCTATGACTTTCTCCAAATCTTTCCCTTTCCAACCTTCACCGCTGTAATTTATGCAATACGCTGCAATGCACATTATGCATTATTAGTTTGCAAATCAATCTGAAAATGCTCATAAAAACAGGAAAGGGAAAATCTACATATTACATCGACGAACCATACTCAAGAAATTGCTGAGGTAAATCGTCTGCTTCATCTTCTCCGTTCTTTGTGAAGCTTTAGAGTATAGCACATTGTTATCCGTTTTTTTACAAAAAGGAAATGTGGCTGATCATGTGCATTAATGGGACCAATTACGCCATTTCTGCATTTCGTATTCGGATTTTTCAGGTGCTCGGCGTAAGCTTGAAAATTAGAAGTCTGGTTTCCTTTAGCAACACTTTATACATGTACAAAATACATACGTACCTATTTTGAAAAAGGGTTATGAACGTGATTAAATATAAATATGGAATACGTAACTCACATTATCGTCATGTACGTACGAGTTACAAAAGACCAAATCTGTAATAGAGATACGTACGTACGTACGTACGTACGTACGTTACATTATTATTGTAGCGATCATATTTGCTCAATCACTCAAATCTAATAACCCGTACGTACGTACGACATGTTACTTCAGTCTTATATCAACTAGTTATTCATAATGAGTTTCTTATCTTTTCCGGAATACAATGGTTCTTGTCATCCTGATGATTGGCTTCGTAACTTTAAATTTGTTGCAGCCTTTCTCGGAAGGATATCATCAGAATCAGAATCTGAACTAGTTAATCTTGCACTCTTAAAAATTAGTCGTTCAATATACAATGATAAAAATATTCAAATTTCAAATTTTTCGCAACTTATTGAATTCCTTAAAGCAGACCCCTCATTTAAAATTTTCAAAACCAATTCTGAACAAAAACTCTCAGCTTTAAAATTTACATATTTAACTAATGTACAAGACTTTATCATTGAACTACGGCAATTGTTATCTGATGCAGAAATTTTTGATCTTAAATTACAAAAACAATCTATATTAAAAATTTTACCTATTAAATTATTCGCAGACTCTTTTAGTTTAAAAATTGCAGAATCCCAAAGTATTAATGAAGTTTTTATAAATCTTCAAAATTTTCTATTTCAATATAACCGAGTAGTTAAGTATGGATCAGTAATCACTTTACGCCATATTGATACTGGAAAACTATTATCAAGCTCACTTGAAAGATATACAGGAGGATCAAAACAATATTGGGTTTGTATTAAGTTTTAAATAAATATTATATTTTATTTTATATTAATCTTTATCCTTTTTAAAGGCATATGCAATAAACCGTCGTGCAACCGATTACGAATCGTGGACTATAATGCCGGAAGTTCTTAAAACTGAATCTCCTCCAATATACAGTGGTAATAAGGAGAAAGGTTTACCAGTATATTATGGTGACAAAATAACACTTATGAATAATGGAACTGGGCAAAAGTTACACTCGCATAATTTTGAAATTAAGGACCTTAATAGTAGGTCACCGATAACTTCTCAATAGGAAGGTAATTAAATTTCTGTTTTTTTTTTTTTTTTTTTGACATTGAATGATTGATTATATAATAATTTAAATATTTCTCCTCAACAGTTACGTGTCAGACTTGGAATAACACCGACGATAACTGGATTTTGCAACATCATTTATATGACACATCTTCTAATGACAAAGAGCTCTGGAATGAATGTCATGATATTTTTCTTTTGCATGACAATTCTAAACTGGGGTTAAATAGCCATAATTATATGTTGAACGATGAATATCAAGAGGTTACATGTTTTGGAGACAAGAAAGTCAATACAACAAAGGTATGTAACCATAGTTAGATATTTTGTATAAATTTCAAACGTCTAATGAATTTTTTTTAATTTTAAAACTGGGCATTTATAGTGGCGTGCTGATATCCTCTTTTTCGAATAAATAACTAACAATTTACTGCATGTAAATACTATTCTTGATTCGGGAAATGAATAAGTCCCCTCATACCTTTGGTTTAACGGTTAATTATTTGAATTTAGTAACTCTATAGTAACTATAGATGCAGACTTATGACATCACCTAGTTACGTCCTATATAAAAAATCGGTTTATAAAATAAACCACAATTGA